TAGGCTAAAGCAATCCCACTTGTTTGATCTTGTCAACTAATCAACTATTAACTATCCACATATAAAAAAATATCTATTTTTTAAAGAAAATCCTACTTAGCACGTATCATTAAATTGATCAAAAGTGACAGTAAATACATTAATAATGTTACAAAAGATTTATATTTCAAATAAATGCTGTTCTATTGAACTTTCTATTCAAAGAACCCTGTAAAAAAAATGAGTATACCAGTTTCTACAAAAAATATTAAGCACTGCAACCGTTCAACATTGATAATAATAAGAAATGTTACTTGAGCACCAAATCTGCATATTAGATTAATTTCTGAAAGATTATTTGACACTGAGGATTGGAGTAATGGCTGCTGAAAATTCAGCTTTGCCATTACAGAAATACAGTAAATTACATTTTTAGATATATTGAAATAGAAAATAGTTATTTTACAGAATATTTCATTACTATATTAACTGTATTTTTGATCAAATAAGTGCAGCTTTGGTGACATAAGAGACTTTTTAATAAATAAATAAATATCTTACGGGCCCCACAAATCCGCCAAATTTTCACATTACATTTTCATTTTAATATGGGAGGGAACGAAACATCAGCTGAACTTTTTCAGCTTTGGTTCAAGTTAACTTTAACATATTGTACAAATTGAACATATTGTATTTTTGTCCTCTTTTCAATATTCTTTCTTTGAGATCAAACAGTAATTGACCTCCTGCTGAAGGTCCTTGCCAAGAAGTTCTAAAATGACAATATGCATTATTCTCTGCCCATAGACAAGGCACTGATACTGTACCACGATCAGACAGGGCTTTTAAAACAACATCTGCACATTCTGAAAGTCAGACATGATCAAAGTGGTACACGTGATCAAATAAAAGCAAGATGTGCCCCAAATTTCCAGCAAAACAAAACATTTTCCAAAAACTACAATACAGAGACCTGACCATTCTCATGAACTCCTCAATGATGTAATTTAGGGCTTTAACAAACAGTAACATCTCCTATAAATCTAATGTATCTGTCTCAGTAGTTTGAAAATGGTACAGGTGTTACAGGTGGCAATAGAGCTGTGACTACATTTTATGAAGCCTAGCAATTGAAAACCAACAAATTCACTGAATAAATGAACACAGACTCAGAATGGCACAACTCATAAAAAGTTGTAAAACATGTTACTGCACTGATTACATAATGGATTCTGCAGACTCGCTCTAATAATCCCCAGATTATCCACAACGTTCTCCAACCACTGAGAAGGTGGCTGTAACAGGGCCCATGAGAAACTGTTGTAACATTAGCTCAATTTAAAAAAAAAAATCTGATTCCTTTCACATATGGACGGTTTTATGTACAAATTGTGACATGGTGGTATAAGACTGTGGAACAGATTTCTAGAAAAATGTAAAGAACTTGAATGTGGTTATATGGCTTTTCACTAAGAAATATGTTCAACAGCTGTTGACAGACAACCATTCCATGAGCTTTACCATCAGAGTGTACAAACTGCAAATACATTCTTTGAGTTTATAGTAGCTTGAAGCAGTCTGTAATAGTTGTAGTTTTTATTACCAAGTGATTAAGCTTATACTTAAACACGACAAAAAGGTAATGTACAATTAGAGAATATATCAACATTTATATGCGTTACTACACCGCCACCTCGGGATAATATGGATACTACACAACAGCACTAGACCATGTAAAATAGTTAAAAAGTTACTGCAATGATACGAAATGTCATAACCCATGCAAGGACTGACTGTATTACTATCTGTAGTTAGTATTATTAAGAGCATATTTTGCGGTATGCGCGTAAATGACTACGAATTAAGAAAAAAAAAGATTCTTAATCACTTTTAGGTTGTTACTGTAAAGTCAGTCAGTCAGTGAGGTAAATGCTCTTTTAAATTCCATTTTTTTAATTAAACAACGTAAACTAATTACATAAGATTAAACTGAATGCTAATCGTTTTGTTTACACTACACGCGAGCGTCGGCAGGTGAAGTGTTTCCGCTCTGTTTTTACCTGAGTCCGGGAAGCCAGATCCTGTTTCCGAGAAGTCTGCATGGAAAGCTTTAACCAGTGCACACATTGATAAAATGAACCACATCTTTGAAAAGCAGTGTTCCTCCAGTTAACACTCAAATAGTACTAAAATGATGAGTACAACCATGAATATAAATTATAGCCTAGAAGCTCATGTGTCTATGGTATGGAAAGTTTACATAAGTATTGAGCGTGATATATATTATCGGTCTACTTCTAGAAGTCTTCTTGCTCCGCAAATGCACGCTTCCCAATCATCCCCGTTCAAGTCCGCCCACATCACACGAACCAGCCAATCAGATCCAAGTAAGCCTCCAGACAGGTGGAACCCTGATTCACCTTGCCACTCCTGTACAGTCTCATGCTTTGATCAATCTGTAACATCATCAATCAAAAAGAAAATACTCTATGATGCTGCAGATATCATATATTTTATCATATAATATTATTTATTATCATATATTTGCATGCATGTTTTCAGGACAGGCTAAATATTCAATAAACCAGAGATCTCTATTATTTGAGTTCATTTTTTAATTCAAGGACTTCGCTTCATACAAAAATGTTATAGTAGAAACAACTGCAGATTTCAAAGTCTGGCCATGGAACAGAAATCAGGCAACAAACAAGTCAATAGCAGAAATCAAATAAAGGATGTGCCAGCTCTTATGCATGGATGGAGCTGTCAACATATCAATACTGTTTTATTTATAAATGTTTCAACAATTTTTTTTTTCAACAAATCCCCTAATTCATATCAAAGGTCGTTTAAAAAATCAAACAAACAAAAAAGAATACATTGTAGCAAAAAGTACAAAGATAAACCATGGGTATTTCAACATGCACATACATTTTAAGACCATGCAAACATTAATCTTTCCAGAAACAGCCACATTTAAGCTTGGTTGATGTACAGGGGAAAAGAGCATTTCAGATTTTGGCAATAAATTATGAAAGGTTTGGTTGATGAATATGATGTTTTCCCAAATCATAGAGAAGCTGAAAAAATTGGTTTATCGATAGAACATGCCGAAGGACATCAATAGATGTGCTGGGAGTGCAAAGATTTGTTCCATAGTTACACGTGAACAATGCAACAACTCATAACGATATCAGCAAAATGTCAGCACATCCTTTAACCTCAGTCTCACAGAGCATGTAGAAAAATAGCAGTTGTTCAGACCGTAGATTTTAAACAACATTTTTCTTTTTTCGCCTGACGAACTGGACATCTCTGATGCATGCACATACAGTAACTTGCAAATTATTATTTTTTATATATATATATTTTGCTGATTTCTGCTTTTTAATCATTGTGCCTTTATGCATTCTAAAATATACATTTTCATACCTTTTTTATTATTATTTAAAAAAAAAGAAAAAAAGAAGATTTGGTCACTATCATGCTAAAGCCTGAATCTGGATTTCCCAGCAGGTAAAGCTACAAAATGAATGAAGTATATTTTCCAAAGTGTCATCTTGTTGCATAGCCCTACATAAAGAAAATACATGTTTAAATGAAAGAACATTCACTGTCAGCAAAGTCCTGACACATCAGTGGCCAAGAATCACCTGATTAGCCAAACAATTCTACAAGCGGCTAATGTATTCATGTATGTCAATGCGGAACTCGTGAAATGATCCCCGTCCGTACAGTGTCCCAATACAGAGGCTTTTTTTCTGTTCTTTCACACTGCCTCACCCTCTGAATTCAGGTGGCTAAATATTCCTCTCATGTTACCAGCGTGATAAAAAGGAGCCGGCCATATTTCTATACGGCCAGCAGCTGGGGAACGGCGGCAGAATGAAAGCTGTGAGTGTGTATGTGTGTCTGGGGGTGCTTGGAGGAGTGCCATGAGGGGGAAAGTTTAACCCTAACACAGATTGGCCTACTGTAGCGGTGCCAGGACCCTGACTCAACGCAACACAACACGCGCTCACATCAGGAAATCTGCTATACGAGCAAAGCACGCTCCTTTGTGACAGTTCTTCAGTTCTCAGTCCTTGCAACTAGCCATTCAAAGGATCAAACAGAGAAGGCAAATAGCAATGCAGTCTGAGCATCTTCATCAGGACAGGAAATATACAATGTAAATATTGGTTTCTTAACCATGGTCAATCAAGAATTGAAGACTTTTTTTAACATGCAATTTTATAACTGTGGTTATAAAGTCCCCGTCAGGACAAATACACAACTACTGCAGTTTTTTAATAGGTACTCCATACTAACATATGCTTTTGGTGATGGAATTTTTCAATATTCCATTCAGTACTAAAATTGTACAAAAAAGGAGACAAGAATAAAAAAAAAAAACAATCATACTGTCATTTCCATTCAAAAACCTAACGTGGTACTGTATCTTCTGAATTAAGGCCTGCGTTCGTAACACCTTGTAGTTCCATTTAACCCTTAGAGCTTGTTCAGTTCACTCTCTCAAGTGTGGATGCACTAAAAAAGGCTGAGGTTGCATCACTACTACAATATATTCAAAAGGTTAGGCACTTTGTAAATAACATCTGGAGCAGTCAAGAAGAATCGGTAGACCTGACAGTATGGTGAAGCCGTAAGCGATTTACGTAAAACCGTTCGTCTATACAATACAAAAAAGCACATAATGAATAGATAAAATATCTACAATTTGATATAAAACAAAGTACATTATGGTTGACAAAAGGTTTCACATATAGTGACATGTGCGAGGAATGGTCATCGGCAGCATAATGAACAATCTGCTTTCGCAACAGTGTGAAATAACGTGTAATTCTCTTAGATGGAGATGAAGGGTCGAATAAAACAATGTTTCTTGCATTTCCAGCCACTTCTGTAAACTTTCGCTCCATAAAAGGTACATCTATAACGCCAAGATAATATTTTTATGGGAATATTTGCATTAAGGGTGCGTCTCAGAGGCTGGCTTTGAGGGAAACTGGCCAGACGCCCGTTGTGGTCTACACTTAAATAACATCTGGAGCAGTCAAGAAGAATCGGTAGACCTGACAGTATGGTGAAGCCGTAAGCGATTTACGTAAAACCGTTCGTCTTTACAATACAAAAAAGCACATAATGAATAGATAAAATATCTACAATTTGATATAAAACAAAGTACATTATGGTTGTCAAAAGGTTTCACATATAGTGACATGTGCGAGGAATGGTCATCGGCAGCATAATGAACAATCTGCTTTCGCAACAGTGTGAAATAACGTGTAATTCTCTTAGATGGAGATGAAGGGTCGAATAAAACAATGTTTCTTGCATTTCCAGCCACTTCTGTAAACTTTCGCTCCATAAAAGGTACATCTATAACGCCAAGATAATATTTTTATGGGAATATTTGCATTAAGGGTGCGTCTCAGAGGCTGGCTTTGAGGGAAACTGGCCAGACGCCCGTTGTGGTCTACACTTGAAGCAATGGTCACTCTTTTCCCAGGTTACACAAGCACAATTTGGCATCTTTTGCCCTTAGAAAGGCAAAGATTAAGAAAAAGCCCATGTGTTTTCATATAAACTGTCAATCTTAAGTGTTTTTAAAAAGACCACACCCATCAAATCATTTAGCCTGACTGAAATGCATCAAAGTCAGGTGGGTTTGAGCCTTTTTATCCCACATCTGCTGCTGCTTTGTAAGCATACATGTATGTTTTATCCTTTGGACATTGAAAAACAAATACATGTATTACTGCATTTAACACCACCCGCAAAATAAGAGATGATAAAACTCATCATGATTCGAAAACAAAAACATCATCTGTAAGTGTGTGTAAATTAAAGCCATGCTAGCACCAGTCGTCCATCTCTGCCTCTGGGTAGTACTGCCGTGCCCGTCCTCTGCTGGCCCCGGGGCCCGTGATGAAGTGGTATCCGTTGGGAACCCCGCGGAACTGCTGTTGGGGAGGTGGGGGAATCGCCACGATCGGCATCCCTACAGTCTGGGCAAAACGGCCCGTCTGAGGGCTCGGATCCTCTTGGAAGATGGCGTAGGGCCCCAAGAAGGGTTCTGAGTTAATGCGACTGACGGGGGCCGGCGAGCTGGAGATGGAGCCGCTGTGTAAGAGGGCGTTGTGCTCGGACAGACCGCGGCTCAGCCTGCCGGGACTTGGGGGAAGCAAGCCGGCCTGTGTGCCCAGAAATTGCACAGGGGAGGAGTTGGCAGTCCTGTAAGCCACGGAGGGACGAGGAGTAAGGGGGGTCTGGGGCAGCTGTCTGCGCCCACGGCTTGGAGTGCTCGCCCCTGAGGTCAACAACACCGGGCTCCCCTTAGCCCACCCACTGCCCTAGATGAAAATTAAACAAGCAAATCAAAACAATAAAATGATGAGGGGGAAATGCCCAAAAGGTTAGACAGGGACCAGGGGCCAAAGAAGGAAGGAAGGAAAGGACGAGTAACATGTTGGGACGAGACAGCGGAAAAAGATGGATGATGATTAAGACAAAAACGAAAGCCTGTGTTTAACTCAGAACATTATCTTCATTACTGTTTAATGCATCTTGGCACTTTCCACAGATTTCTACCTTCATAACTATTTAATTTTTACCTTGTCTCAAATCCCTAACATGTTTTTCATTAGATCAAACTCAAAAGATCCTTTTATTCATTCTCTGATCATTTTCCAGTCTCTAACTTCTGACCTAGCCTTTCATTTTAACACATGTCCCTGTCCTGTCTTGACAACCCCATCCCACCTGCTTGTTGAGACTGGCCTCCTGGGCCTCACTGGGTGAGGTGGCACAGCTTGCAATGGCAGACTTGCTGGGACAGTGTTCCCGACTGCTGTAGCGATCACATGAGTAATACCGCTGCTTCTCCACTGAAGACGAATGATGCTTCCTCTCATGGGAACGACCTCGGTCATGCGGCCTCTCCTCTACAGGGTCAGCTGCTGTGCCTGAGAACCAACCAAAAACAAGAGGGAAAGAAAGACAAGCCATTAAAACATGCACTGCAACAAAGACTTTTCTTAATCCATACTTTTATCTTATTTTTAGACAAATTTACTTTACTTTTCTCAAATTACCCCTTTATTGACTGAAAATGATATTCTGGATAAATTCCAATTTGGATTTAGAGCTGGTCACAGTACAGAGACCGAAAAGTTGTGAACGATTTACTGATGGCAGTTGACTCTGGGTTGGGGGTTGTTTTAATTATGCTGGATCTCAGTGCCGCATTCGACACTGTTGATCACTCGATCCTATTAAAACGTTTGGAGTGTGATGTAGGCATCAAAGGAACAGCTTTAAAATGGTTTTATTCTGCATGATAGATTTTTTTTTGTTAATTTCGCAAATACTTCATCTTCTGTGGCTCCTTTAAAATATGGTCTTCCTCAAGGTTCTATTCTGGGCCCTACATTATTTTCATTGTACATGTGCCCACTTGGATCTATATGTCGTCGCTATGACATTTCCTTTCATATGTATGCTGATGACACTCAGATATATTTACCACTTAAAGTCGGGAACGAGCACTTGCTACATTCCCTGTTACTCTGTCTGGAAGAGGTCAAAATTTGGTTGTCTAAAAATTTTCTTCAGCTTAATGGAAAAAAATCTGAGATAATTATTTTTGGTCCACCAAAATTTAAAGAGATGATTTCCAGTACTATTGCTCCTTTAGAATTAATTATAAAAAAACTGTAAGAAACCTGGGTATCATAATTGATTCAACTCTCAGCTTTGACAATCAGATAAAGTTGGTAGTAAAAAGTAGTTTTTACCAACTTGGAATGATCTCCAGGTTAAAGCCAATTCTTAGTTTTAAAGGGGTCATATGATGCGATTAAAATTTTTCCTTTCTCTTTGAAGTGTTACAAGCTCTTGGTGCATTAAGAAGATCTGTAAAGTTGCAAAGACTAAAGTCTCAAATCCAAAGAGATATTCTTTATAAAAGTTAAGAGTCAACCACGCCTACCTAAAACGGCTCGTTCTAACATGCCCCCACATGTCTACGTCATGATGTGGGAAGATTTGCATAATGCCGCCCAAATGTTCACGCAAAGAAAGAAGGCGTAACTTTTATACTCGCTGTAATATTGTTGCTGCCACCATGTCGTGAAAGCGCTGTGTGTTTCGTTGTGAAAGCTAAACTACTTTGTTTGGTCTTCCAAAAGAGGATGATATCAGCTTCGTCATGCCTAAAGCTGATCCGTGCTGGTTGCTGAGGAAATATATCAACTTCGCGCTGTGGATTGCCGGATCGGCTTTCACTGTGGACGAAGTGGAGTCCAGCCCGGAGTCGTCACATGTGGTTGCCGCAAGCCCACCGGCCGCTCCTTCGTCGAATCCGCCAGCCGCCGCTCACTCTAGCCCGCCGTGTCGTCGGCCGTCGTTGTGAAAGCGAAACTACTTTGTTTGGTCTTCCAAAAGAGGACACAACTAGAAATCAGTGGTTAAGTTGTATTTACAACACTGTTCCAGAACACTTCAACCCAAATATTAATTTGTGTGCAGCACATTTTATGGAGGACTGTTTCCTGATCCTGGTAGAGTAGACTACAATGCCGGCTGTTCTGAGTCACAGACTGTAAGTACGTTTTCATTTAAAGGATTTGACACTTACGATTCAAACGCGAGATTTGAGCAGTGTAGAGTTGCGCTTGTTTGTCATTTCTCCAATCACAAATGCAGACATGGTTTTATGTTTACGCGGCGCGATGCAACGCAACACATAAAAGGCAGTAGAAGTCATTATAATCCGTAATTATGTCCCCACTGGATGCAACAAATGTCACACTTGTAATGGGTTTTCATGTTTTTGAATCGTCGCTCCGGCCGGACAGGGCATCACAGTATGGTAAGGGGCGTAACATTTCCGTCACACGCTTGAGGTATTCGGCCAATCACAATGCACTGAATAGCTGGCCAATCAGAGCACACCTCGCTTTTCAGACCGATGAGCTTTGTAAAAATCGACGCGTTTCAGAAAGGCGGCGTATAGAGGAGAAACAATAATGTACAGTATGTGGAAAATAATGTTTTTTTTTTACTTTAAACCGCATTAACACATTTCATTACACCAAATACACAAAATGTTCTTTTTAGCAACATCATATTTAGATTTAAATTAAATGATTTAGAGACCGTTATCCATGTATTTATTACCTCGAGATTGGATTATTGCAATTCTCTTTATGTTGGGATCTGTCAGCGACAACTATCTCGTCTGCAAATTGTACAGAATGCTGCAGTCAGGCTTTTGACAGGCACGAAAAAAAGGGATCATATTACTCCAGTATTATCCTCTCTCCATTGGCTACCAGTTCAGTACAGGATCGATTTGAAAATTTTATTAATGGTTTTTAAAGCACTTCATAACATGTCCCCAAGTTATGTCACCAATCTTTTAGAGTACCATACATCGGCTAGGACACTGAGATCAGCAGATAAACTGTTACTGGCAGTTCCTCGTTCCAAAAAAAAGTCTAAAGGCGATAGAGCATTTATGGTTGTGGCTCCCAAATTGTGGAATCGTCTTCCACTTCATATTCGGCAGGAATCCTTAGAAGTTTTTAAATCTCAGTTGAAAACTCATCTTTTTACATTAGCTTTCGTAGAGGAAAGATCTTCGTAGAGACCTTTCGTAGAGGAACAACCTCGATGTGTAATGACCAGATAAAGGGTATTTGTCATCTGTGGGTTGGTTCATTAAGTGGTTTATTTATTTATAAATTGTGAAGCACTTTGGCCAACAAAATTGCGTTAAAATGTGCTATACAAATAAATAAAAGTTGAAGTTGAAGTGAAAAATTGTGATTGACGTTTTTAAATTATTATTATTATTATTAAATTACTTACGTTTTGATGTTTTGACTACAAAATTCACTTCATGCTTAAAGAAAAACATGTTATTTGCCAATAAGGTAAATAAAACAATTAGAATTAGTCTTAATACAATAGTTTTGCTTTTTATAATATTTGTATATTTATAATATTTCTATTGGAAATCAAGTCAAAAATGTTGATATCTAAAATCATGATATCTTGCATAATTTTGCTGAAGTTCATTTATAATTTTTTATTGTTATTTTAACTATAAAACAAGAAGAAAATGTATTGTAATGTGGAAAGCAAAATACAACGCAATATCTGGTCATATTTTCTTTAAAAAATGTAGTAAGAACTTAAACGCTTCCATTTTAACAACTGAGAAAAAAAATTCTATTTTAAATTCAAGTATAATTATTTGTGCCAAACTTAAGAAAAGGTCAGGATTTTTTTTTTTCTTTTCTTTTTTTAAAGAAAATTAAAGGAAAAATAAAACAAAACAACAGGATTTCTTGAGCTATTGAGCCCAGCTGTGGCAGATCCATCTCTCTCAGTCTACCTCTCCTCTGGATTTTCACATTCCTCAACAGGCTCCAGTCAAAAACCTGACCGCCTGAATTTTTCTTCCCTGTTCTCAATTGGCCTGCTGAGAGGTAACCATAAATTATCAGGTCATGGGTCTGCATGTCTGTCAGTCCCTTTTATCTGGCTAATAGAGGCCAGCTGCGGCCGGACGCTCTCACACCAGGTCCTGCTTCTGCACTTCACTGATCCCGTCTGGGTTTAAGATCAGTTCAACCAATGCAACTAAAAATCTACAGAGAGATCCGCATATAAAACATTGGGCTTTTTCACTTCATGCAGCTAGTTTTTTGAGTTGTATTTTACAGGGAGCTAATGGAAGTGTATTGACCTGTAGCTTTGTGTTGTCCAGTGGGCGACCTGTCCAGAGATCTCTGTTTCTTGTCTCTGTCCCTACGATGATGGCATCGGTGATGATGGTGATGGTGATGTCGTTCTTGAACAGGTTTCGCCAAAGTGTAGTCATTCAGATTCACCTCCTGAGGGCGCTGTGGTGCAAAAGTGGATGCGGAGCGTCTCATGGGGGAATCAGGAATGGTCTGAGAAAGAAAACAAGGTGGTGGTTACATAAAGTCAGATGAATGCTTTTGGACATTGTTATCTTGGAATATTACAAGGAATGCTGCCTATAATAACACTGCCTTGTATGCTAAACCTCCATTTTATCTCAGATGCATCAATACAGGGATGAACTCCAGACCGCAGTAACGATCTAAGGGATCATTATGATATCAAAGTATCAGAGGCAATGTAACATCTGTAGCAGCTGAGCTAATCCCGTTTGAGGAAACACTTATTTTGGGCTTAGACCCTCAATTTATGCTCCCATCCACAGGTGCATTTTAATGGTGTGCCTCGGAATCTGTCTGAAATTATCAAAGGTCACTGGCTCTAGTCTCGCTGTACTAGACTTCCTTTGATTTCATGTTTTGCAGTACAACAGGCTGATAATCCTCAGATTCTTACTGACACTGAGGACAAACAGACCTGGGACTTACTGTAACCAATAACAAAGTTTAGCTCAGTGGTTGACTCCAAGGATTGTTTTGTATTATTTCAAAACAATTTAAATAATTTTGAGACCCTCCCAGAAGTGTGCTGATGCCCCACTGACGGAGATCCTTATGTCAAGCCAAGAATATATTCTTAGAAAACTGAATACAAAAAGTTGTTCTTACTTCCAGTAAAGTCCCAGGAGAATGACGGGAATGACTCCTCTGATGAAGCGCGTCAGAGGACAAAATAGAAGTGAAGGGCAGGGAAGACATGGAGAGAAGGAAAAAATAAATTTTCATGATAATGTACTTTAAAGAAACATTAAAAGTCATTCTGCATGATAGACAGTATTTTTGTGATTTCATATACTGTAGTTAGACTAGTGGTGTAGAAATTACATACTTCACCTTTAACACTGCATATGTGTAAACAAGACAAAGCCAAATGATAGTTTTGAATGCTCAAAAATGTTGTATTTTTAATGATTTTTATTTGATTTTATTTGTCGTCTTTTGCAGTGAATCAACTTAGTTCACCCAAAAATTACTTATACTCATCCTCATGTCGTTCCAACCCCGTAAGACCTTCGTTCATCTTCAAAACACAAATTAAGATATTTTTGATGAAATCCAAGGGCTTTCTGACCCTGCATAGGAACACGCAACGCAACAACCACACTCAAGGCCCAGAAAGGTAGTAAGGATATCGTTAAAATGTTTCATATGTTTTATGAAGCAAGAATACTTTTTGTGCGCAAAGAAAAAAAAATAATGATCATGTTGTGGTACTCTCGTGAATGTGCATGGAAGAGAAGAAATTGTTGAATAAAGTCATTATTTTTGTTTTCTTTGTGCACGAAAAGTATTATCGTAGCTTCAAAAATTTAGGGTTGAACCACTGATGTCACATGGACTATTTTAACAATGTCCTTACTACCTTTCTGGGCCTTGAAAGTGGTAGTTGCATTGCTGTCTATGCAGGGTCAGAAAGCTCTCGGATTTCATCAAAAATATGGTAATCTGTTTTCCGAATGTCTTTTGGTTTTGGAACGACATGAGGGTGAGTAATTAATGACAGAATTTTCATTTTTGGATGAACTATCCCTTTAAGCTTCCCTCTGGGAATTTATGTCATTGATTATTATCAATCCTCCTTCTATCCATCCATGACAGACACAAGTCATTCCTTAAGGCACACTTGTCAATCATAATATCTTTGCAGATCTTCCTAATGTCATAGTTTTGCAGAGTTTCTGGGTTGTGGTTGAACTAAATCTGCATTTGAGGCTGTAATTTGGCTCTATTTTCATCCGTTGAGCAGAAGGACTAGAGATGGCCAGGTGCCAATGGTGAAGGGATTTCCCCCGCAGAAAACAGAGGGATTTGGACATATTAGCAGGTGCTGAAACGTTACATTCAGCATCTAATGTCTCTTATCGGTTAGTCCAGCACTTTAAAGAGATTTGGTTTTGGATGGGAATCAAATTTGGGAGTGAAATAGAGGCACTCAGTGAGCCTGAGCAGCCCATTAGCACTAGAGAGGTGTGGGATAGGTGTGATTTGATAGGAGGAATACCCCGATGAGTCTTAATGGATGTATTGTCTTTTGCAGAGTCCAAATGGAATGTGAATTTCATAGTCAGATGATTTTAGATTTATTTTTCCAATGTCTTGGTTGTTCTCACATACTATAACATTAACTATAAGCAAACTAAAAGCTGAGATCCCAAAACAACACAATCCATTAGTGAAATGCATTAGACTTTTAGCCGGTTCTGTGCAAATTACATTTAAAATAAAAACAGAAGAATGCCATTCAGTATTCAAACCAATATGGATTTTTAAATCCATCTCAAAATAACCATAAAGTAATCTCAACCTTTTTTCTTGAGAGTCTACTTATTCAGATTGTGAGCTTCATTTCACTTCCTCTTAGCCTGCACAAGCTGAAAACTGATCCAGGGTGCAGATCTGGCAACCTACCAAAGACTAATTGTATTATGTTTTACTTCCCCTGTGCCCTGAAATAGGACAAACGTCCTATTTTCATTAGACTTGGCATGCAAAACCAATACATAAACCATGTGCAATGTTCTCTTCACATATTCACCCTATTTTTAATGTAATAGCATGTGTGGCTATTTGTAACTTGAATGTGCGAGGCTTCCAGTGTCATCCGCTTCCACTTATTTTAGCTGTAAAAACAGCTCGTTGTGATGCTTGATATTGCAAACAGATATTACTTATCACAGTATTTTAATGTACTGTCATAATTATAATTGTATTGACTGACTCATATTTATTTATATATATTAGGGCTGTCAGTTTAATGCGTTAACTTAATTAGTTATAAAAAAATAACGCGATTAAAATATTTTAATGCAGTTAACGCACTGGCCCCGCCCCCAGACATGTACATCATCTTACATTTCATATAGTTGGTTGTTGACAAATATGATGCAGGGTAACAACTCCATAAATGCAGTTATGCCCTAAAATTCAAGATATTGGTGCAAAAATGCCCCTGTACTGTATGTGTTTTTGGCTCATATTTATATCATACAATATTTCACGAGCAGGGAGAGCAGTAGGCTATTACACGAGTGCTGATTTTGTCCCGAATATCACAAGTTTAAATGTGATTTTATACAACAGTTCAGTAAATAAGAAGTTGATATTGTATTATATTTCAATAGTATGTGTTTTGCTCAATTTTGCAATAAAAAGCCATAGCAGAATTGTTGCATCTTCGAGCAACACAGCGGTGTTTAGTTTCTGAATGAATCCGCGTTTTGAACGAATCGTGTGAATCAATGATTCAATGGCCCATTCATAAAGACAGCCGTTCCCATTCAGTCGGTTCACTCGGTACAACACATGACTATGGGATATCGCACTCTTGTTTCATCTGCTGAAGCCAATGACACATGACAACGTGGGCTGGGCTACCTGCCCACAGCATATAAATGCAGTCGTATGGGTCATTCCCTCTGTTCTTTAGCGCTTCACCGCGCTGTTAGAACATGTCACGCCACATTCACAAGAAAACCCACGGTGGTGACTTGTTGAAGAAGAAAAGGCATAAAAGATGAGTTTTTAGCTCAAGTTTAGCACAGCTAACAAATGGCTAATAAACTTTCTCATGAGAAATGTGAGAAAGCCAGGTGTGTGTGTGCGCTGCCAGCAATTCTATCGTTCCGCACTTACGCGGTGTGTAGCATGTGCTTGGTGGCTCAGTGGCCAAACATGGTCCACTCCAGTCTTCCAGGGCTTATCCTGATGCGGCTCTCACCATTGTTGGCATGGCCATGGAGTATTAGGGCAATTTGTGGGGAAGTTGGTGTAGTGTTCACGACAAGGTTCCTCTGGCCGCCCCCAGAGTCTGAGCAGAACTTTAACTGTCTCGCTAGATGCGGACGAGGAATGCTCTGATTATATTTTTCAGGCTGGGTCCCTTGCACTGGTCTGTATTGGAGAGTGGCAGCAAAGTTTGTCAGTGGAGTGGCTTGACCCTCCTCCGATACAGAGAGATTGCGGGTTATGACTCCTGTAGAAACAGTGATGAGAACCTGCCTGATGATATATCCTAATTGTGTAAAGACCCTGCTAGATAGGGGGTTCGGTTTTGAGGATGATGTCAATAAAAGAATGTGTGTTCATCATTCAAGGTCATATGTGTTGATTTGTCAAAACAATCACAATACATTGGAATTATTTACCTCACGATCAGGCCATGTGCTGACAGAGGAGGTATATGCAGTTATATGCAATATCCAGCAATGTTTACAAACAAAAAGGGGCACAGGAGTTCCCCAGGTGATTTGTCACCACCCCGGGATCCTCCCTGTCAACCTGAAGCAGTGGCACGCACGTGCAATAGCACGGGCTATAAGCTGCGCATTCTTTCGTGCACCCTCCCATGTTTCGGCGGAGTAATTGCAACAGCAGTACCCGAGAGGGCTTCCCCAGTGCTGAGGGAGGAAATCCATACTGTCCTCAGCAAGGTGGCAATTCAGGTGGTGCCACAGGGGAAGGTGGAGGAAGAGGGTTTCGCAGCCGTTACTTTCTCCTCCTAAAGAAAAGTGTTTTTTTTCCACCCTTAGATTCAAGACTGTTGAACAAGCATTTAATGTATTATATAATGCAAAATGCTTATAATACGTCACCTGTCATGCCCTCTGCAATGCATCCTCAGGACTGGCTTACATCAGTGGGTTTGCCCGATGCATATAATATGTTCTGTAAAGCTGCTTTGCAATGATTTGTATCGTGAAAGGCGCTATACAAATAAACCTGAATTTAATTGAATATGGCCACCCGGGGCACAGACATTTTCGGAGGTCTCCGTCGAGGGTGCCTACAATTTTTTGGGTCCCTAGCGCCACACATATCTGCAAGTGGATATAACATCCACCAAGTGGATGTTATATCGGAGTCGGCAGACAGACTCAAAGCACAACAGGGGCAGAGGATTATCACAGCTCTCTAGCTCAGTTTCGGGTGAGGAGGCGAGAGCCTTTTTCTTAATTGAGAATGCTGGGGCTCATGGCTTCGATAACAGTAATACGGCTTGGTCTTCTCTTTATGCGTGGGTTCCGGTGCTGGGCGCTGAATACGACATTTAAAACAGACATGCGTCGATAGTGCCGATGTGCGTTCAGGCACTGATCCCCTGGGAAACCCCAATTTGTTGACAGAGGAAATACCCAGGGCAGGGTTACGCCATGTGTAGTAGTGACAAGTAGTAGTGACAACAAATGCGTCACTCACGATATGGACAAGGAACTTTTAAGAGGAGAGTGGTCGACAGCGCTGTAAGAGCATCAAATAAACTTTTTGGAGTAGTTCTCTTGGTGCTGAGACACTTGGCCCAGTAGGGCAAACGTGTTAGTCAGAATGAGAAATACGACGTGGTGTCGTACATAATTGGCAAGGGAGCATTTGTTCTCTTCCCCTGCTACAACTGGAACGGATGCTCTGGATATGGGGCAGACCTGTGGTCCCCCATGGAGTGATGTTTGTACTAATGGCGCAGATCTGGGATCGGGTTCCACAGAACCGGTGTTGATCTTTTTGCATCTGCAGAAAACACGCGCTGCCCGCTCTTTTCTTGATTATGGAAAGCCTCACTTGGGTTGGATGCCTTGTCGCTTGTATAGTCCAGGGCCCTGCTGTACGCATTCCCGCTGAGGGAATTGATACAGCCCACCCTGGACAGGGCGCGGGGTTTGTCACTGATTTTGGTGGCTCCTCACTGACCAGCGAATACATGGCACGCAAGCATAATGACATTGCTTTTTAAGGACGCCGTGGTGTCTATTTCCCTATGCAATGACCTGCTGTCCCAGGCAGGAGGCAGACTTTGCACCCTCAGCTGGAACTGTGGTTGCTAGGGCCTGCCTGTTGAGAGGGAAAATCTGATAGATCTGTTTAATCTAACAAGAATGCCTGCAATGGGTAGATTGTTGCATATTTAAAGCTTGGTGCGGGCAAGGCTCGTTATTGTCAGTGCCCGATTGAGGAGATACTGATTTTCTGAAGGAAGGTCATTCCCATTCCACAATGGAGGTTATTGAACAGCGGTTTGTCTTGTCATGAGGGCATTGCATTGAGGCTGCTGCGCCATTTGAAGCGCGCACCTGCTTGCCTTGTGGTTTCTTAAATGACCGGGTATTCTTCATTTTTTTAGCTCTGCTCTGTCTCACGCAAGGACGTGAGAGTGAGCTTTTCGAAGCATACTCCTTTGATGGGGTGCATGGGAAGACGCATTCGGCGTGTATGTATTGTGTAAGTGGTTTTAAGTGCTCAAGTCACCCGCACAAGCGCTGTTGTATGCGTGCTGTCCGCACAGTCACAAAGGTTGGGCTGCACGGGGACCCTCCTGATGATGGCAATCATGTCATACAGCAGTGAGCGGACCATCGTGGAACTTCCACGTTCTGCTCCATCTAGCGCACGTTAGAACGTATGCATTTCAAGGTACTCCTTTGGCCATAAGTGCAGAAAGACGTGTTCAGCGCATACACACTTTCTAGTTGACTTTGTTTCCAAGCGCTCAGGTCACTTGCACGAGTGCTGTGGTACACACTGTCAACACAGATGCAAAAATTTTACTGCACGCAGACAGTGTGCGTGGATGTCCACAGACGCCCTCCTGTTGAAAAGGTGTATGTCGCACGGAAGGTGCGTGGAATGCGGGCAGTCGAAGTACTTAGGGCTTAGGTCTACAGACTATGTGTGAACCTTGTGCATCAAATTTTGAGTTGGGTGATATTGCATCCAAACGCAGCGTACCGTGATGGCACGCGTAGGCTGCATCACTCCTCCCTCTCTCCTCTCCACGTGTAGCTGGTGTGTGGTGAGCGCACTGGCACTGTTGTATTGTGGCTGCCTTCGCATCATCCAAGTGGGCGCTGCACACTGGTGGTTGAGGAGAAATCCCCTCATATGATTGTAAAGCGCTTTGGGTATACAAGCAATACACAATGAATGCGTTATATGAATGCCCCATTCATCCATTCATCACAGAGACGTCTACTTGATGTCTGCGTTTACATCTGCAACATGTTTTTTTACAGTATTTGTTCATCTGCAATACGCCTATATAGGAGGTTTCCTATCAGATGTCAAGTGGACATTTATTAGATGTCTTTAATATGTTTATGATTTAGAACATATGTAAAACTGACATCTTAAAGGCGCCTGTCAGATGTTTGTACACAGCAGATGCTTTCCAGATTAAGCAATCTTTAACAGACATCTTGACTTGCAAAATTACCTGTGCTATCTGGGTATACACCAGACAGGAGTGCACTTCCACTCAAGCTGCCTGCCCTGTCAAATCTCTGACTCAGAGGAAGACAGGAGTTTTCATGCTCTTGTAAAATATGTATGCAGGTACAGTGAGCAGATGCAGGCTGTGACCAGCTTTTTGTGCCCGTGTGAAGCCACTACTTGAATGGCGTTTTTCGCATTGGATTGTAGAAAGCTGTGCATATAAGACATGCCTGTTATGACTAATACTAATAGGTGCTTGGGCGCTCTACGAGGGGTGTGGAAACATCATGGGTATGGTTTAAGATGTGCCATGCGATTGCCATTTAGGCATCACTGCACTAGTCTGTTCATTTGTTTACTAGACATCACTGTGGCAACGGTAGCTATGTCTGTGCTTACCGCAGGACTTTTTAAACCGCAGGCCATCACTCCCTTGTAAAATAAAGGTGTATGTGGCGGTGCTGGTCCCTTATGTTTAGTTCAGTGACTTTGTGGGGCATGTATATATGTCCCATAGTCATGTCTTGTACCGAGTGAACCGACTTGCAAACTCTAATCTTGCCTTTCTAGTTTTGTTGCTTGTCAGAGGTTTGCATCTTGCTGTGTAGCATCTGTAGTTCTGTGTCAAAGTTTCCTGTGGACAGTAGATTGTCAGAGCATCACCCCAGCTTTCTGGAGGTTTTTGATGATTTTACAGACATAAATTTTAGGGTTCATTTTCACAGCTTTTATGATTTGTCTGTCATCAACTACTGTTGTTTTTCTCAGCTGATCAGGTTGTTGTTGATTGCTGATGTCGCTGGTGGTTTCCAAACTCTTGATTTCTCCATGCCCTTTGTTTTTAATTGACTTCCTCTTTTCTTTTAGCATCCAAATTGCTTGCTTTTCTCTCAAAGTCAGCTCCCTCGTCTTCATCCTGGTTTGTGTCATCAATTTGTGTCATCATGGTGTGTCATCATCGAATGCAAGACTCAGAATGCAGAAGCAATGGATATAAATACGACACATTCCCTGCTTTTAATATCTGAAGAATTAATGCAACAGGACACAGTTGATCACTTAGAAAGACCTGTGAGGCAACTGTTCCAATACTTCAGGTTAAGCTCACATCAGATAGGGGGATGAAACTCTAAAAGCGCTGATCTTCTTAGCTGGTAAAACATGTATGTGTTGAAACACCCAATAATAAAATTTGACCATTTGTAGTTTTGTCTCATATTCATCTTTTAATCATATTTACAGATTTCTTGACTCCACAGCAAACAGAGCAATTTTACCTTTACTGTTCCAACACTTATGGAGGGCACTGTATATATACATTGATTTAATATAATACCTGCATCTCTGCGTTGAGTTTTGGCATGGATACTGCACGTCCTTGGCCTTCAAGGCTGCCAGAGGTTACTGTGTTGGCACTGTTCTCCATCTTCCTCATTTCTACTGACTCCTATTAAATACACACAATAAGAGATAAAATCCACATTAAAGAAAGACAATGCATGTGTCAGAAAGAGTCAGCATTTTTTATTTACAGCACCTGGGCAGTATTTGCATTTGAGGCATCCTCTGATTGACCTCTGGACATTGGCCGTCGTTTAGATCGTGGGACCTCCTTGGACTTCTCTGAGGCCCAGGATGAAGATCCCTTTATTGTGTTATCAAGACTGGGCATGAAATTTGACAACGTATTAGAGTAGATACACTTGTCATGGCAAAGAGATTAATTCAAGTGTGCACTGAATATGAATGCAGCAAGGATTCTGTGCTCACTGTGTGCGTCCGTTGTTGAGCGTTGTGGAGCTTGGTCTGGTCTGAGCTTGAAACTCTGAGGCCGAATCTACACTGTTCACAGCCTGATCTTGCATGTGGGTTAGTGGGAGAATAGGCTCTAAAAGAGCACTGACTTTATTCTTCAAACAGAGAGAATCAAAACACATTTACTTTCAGTTGGAAGATTGGAAGTCTTTATGTTTTTATGATCTTAAAGAAATATCTGAAGGCTTACATTTGAAATGAGTAAATTTATCTAATTTTATTCCATTACATATTATAACATACATACATTTTCATTGTACATCTATTTGTTATTTTACAGTTTGATGACTTTAATATTATTTTAAAAATGTGCAAAATAGCACAAAAATCTGACTAGTAGTGTAAGTGTATATATATATATATCACCTGAGATCCAGGTCCTGCCTGTTCTTTCTGCTGCTGTTGCTGCATCTGAAGTCTTTTGGCTCTGTTTTGCTTGTAATAGTCAAAAATCATAAGAGCCGCATATACCTTCCCCACTGTAAGCTCATTGGCTGCAAAAAGACAAATGCACCTTAGTTATGTGCTGTGTGGACAGTCCACTGGTGACCACTAGATGTCGCTGTGTATTGTATTTGGAGATGTTTGCACATGTCAAATTACTTGGGTTCTGTTTAGATAATTCATAAGCATGAGGCTGTACTTCAGTGTTAGTCTTGTAATATGTAGATGCAAGTATTTCTGTAGCAAAAGTAAGAAAGGATCTCCTGGGTGATGATTCATAATGTGTTTACGTTTGTGCGGAGTGACCAGCAGGTCCATAGTCTTCTGAGACAGGTTTGGCCAGACTGTAGCGAGCTCCTTCTTCAGTTCAGCATCTGACAGACGTTGGGCCACCATGCCTGTGGAGATATTCATGAACACAGAGGAAAGAGTCTAATTAGACTATATCTTATATATACACGATTCAGTTTAGTCTAATTATTTTGGTGTTTCATAAATATTTTCAACATTTCTCTTTTATCTCCTGTAATATAACTATAAGTTCCTGAATTTAGATCAATGCAATGAAAGGCAAACACTTTTTGCTGAGGATTTGGAAGAATTTAGTGATGCTAGAACAACTATTTAATCTCCTGTTATCAAAATAATAATTATAATATAAAATTACTTATATATTATTTAAGTTTAGTGAATTTAGATCAATACATCGCAAAGCAAAATTGTGAAAATGAAGCTAGAAAAACCCATCCAGTGCCAAACACTCAGAGTGATACAACAGATGCTACACACACCATCCCACACACACTGCTCTGAAGAGTGGAAATGGCACTAGCAGCAGCAGCAGAACAGATCACACTGAATAAATGAGTAAGTCTCTCCATTAGGCACTAATCACATTTGGAGTTATTTGGAAAAGAGAAAGATGGATTTTAAAAAGAGAGGGAAGGTGGAACAATTATCTAAATGCTAATCTATACAATAATTACACAATCATTTAGACAATGAAAAGGGCACCAGACCGACCTGAAGCCAGTTTGATCTCCAGGGCTGTGCGGATCAGAGCCATCAGGGTGGAGGTGAAGTGCACACTGTTGTCATCTGCAATAGGCATGTTCATTTTCACCAGCCGCTGGGGTGGGGGGTATGGGGTGCATGAGGTTTATTAGTGGGGTAAAAACACTTCTCAAAATCAGCATCATCCAGAACAACCCAAAAACTCAAACAAAACAGTTTGTGTGCATCTGAGATTTGACATGATTATTTCATATCCTTCTATCGATTCATGCATTCTAGAAATCAAGCAATACATTTATTGGATCAGTTTGGTAATTCAAAAAGGTAGAATCCTGTTATAATCTTAGCGTTTCAAGCACACAAACAATTTTGTTCACATAGAGAATAGAAACAAGAATCTAACATTCACATTCACTGCTATAGGCTACAATCCGCAATCAAAGTGCACTGGTGATAAACCGACACCGACTTGAGAGTGGAGAAAAGCATGTTCACATAACCATGAGGGGCTTCAGAGAACATGGGAGCTCGACTCTGAGTGTTACTAATCAATAAAATTGCAGCAAATAGCTGCTTTTAGATTTAAAAGTTTCAATTGGTGACCAGATGTGGCTTTTTTAGAGCTGAAACAATGTTAAACACACTGGCAACATTCAACTGAATCATTCTGATGACACCTTTGAAAAATAGTAAAAATCATGTCTAAAATATCAATTGTGTAATTGAGTCTCAAATTACATACTTCACCTTTAAAGGTGCACTCATTTATTATTATTATTTTGCTTATATTGCACCAGAAAATGCAGCTGTTCTGTACTTACTGTATACTGACACCTAGTGGTGTGGATGTTGCCTCACAAATTTTTTTTTTTTATAATGCATTCACAGAAATACTATACTAGCAGTCAGTCATGATTAATTTATTCTGTGCTGTAAGAAAAGGTCTCCAAAAATATGAGTGTTACAGAAATAAAATTAATTGTATTTGGCTAGTCATGTGATCTCAAAATGGGCGACCTGCTCTATGGAAAATAAAAGTTTTTATTAGAGTGACTGCACATGATTTTAAACATATTTCTCTATTAAAGGGGTCATATGGTGCGATTTCAATTTTTCCTTTCTCTTTGGAGTGTTACAAGCTCTTGGTGCATAAAGAAGATCTGTAAAGTTGCAAAGACTAAAGTCTCAAATCCAAAGAGATATTCTTTATAAAAGTTAAGAGTCAGCCAC